TATCTCACTTTCTCTGCTCTCGGCCCTTTATGTCTCTCCTTCATTTCTCCGGGTACTCGAATCTTCCTCTTCCCTGAGCCGTTTCCTCCCTCTCCCTCTCCCAGCTCTCACACCACCTCCTTATCAATGTGCTGGCGTTGTGTCGGGCTGAGAAGCTGTGGTTTTACCTTCCCCTGGAGGGGATGGGGAGGGAAGGCAGAGACCCAGGAGCAGAAAGAGGCACAGCTTTACTGAAGACTGCACGCTCGTGTCTAGCCAGTGCCAGCTCTTTTCTGAACCAGGCGGAAAGCATCAGGGCTGGCTGGGCAGAAGGGAGGAGGGGAGAAAATCACAGATGTCCTGAGCTTGGAAGTGTCTGCCTGTCACCCAGTGTGTCACATGGCTGGCAGGGGTTGTCACTTCCAGGAGGATAGCTGATTGCACTTAAAATGCACGTGCAGAATGCCATGGCATGGGACGGCAGCGCTGCGAGTCAGGGGAAGCATGGTGGGTTTGGGATGGGGGTTGGAAAGGCTGGTGAGGGAGGGAGGAAGGGGTCCCAGCGAGGGAACAGCACGGGAGGACTCAAGCCAAGCCTGAGGCTGGTTGACAGAGCTGTAGGGCTGTCCACAGCCCAATGTGGCAGCAAAGCCTCCTCCCAGCTTGCCTCCACGAGCTGGCCAGGTGTGGAGGTGTCCCCAGCATCACCAGCTGCCAGAAGCATCTTCTCAGCCTACTCTGCTGGGGTTGCTGCCGCCGAGCCTCCGCACAATGTTTTAAACCCAGTGCAACAGGGAAGACTCCCCCAAGGCTCCTCTTCTCCACTGCACTGAAGCACGAAGCCACGCTCCATCGTCCTTCGCGGGGTCGGGCAGAGGTGTTCCCTGCACTTGCTGTCTCACGCAGCTCTTCGGAGGCCACACCACTGCTCTAGAGGAACCCTCGCTGCTGGGCTGCATCACCCTGGGCTGCGGTGCGGTCATTTCCAAGACTTTTGGGCCCACACAAGGGTTATGGCAGATAACCAACACTGCCCTGCTTAATGAAAGTAAAGCAGACCCCGCACAACAGAAGCGAGAGATTTTTCCTTTGCCTGTAACGTGGATTGCAAGGACAAGGGTGTCTGTTATACCCTATAGGTTTAGGAATTTTTGTTTGTTTGTAGTAAGGTGGTTTTTAAGCTCTGCTCTATAATTTCCTGTTGGCTCACGGACTACTTCGAAAGGATCCATAAAAGCTCGCTGAGAAAAGCAGGCTCAGCTACCCCTCACTGCCATCCGCTCATGCAAACGTCCTGCCGGCGTCTGTCGATCTGCCAGAAAGGCTACAAATGGCAAATTTCAAAAAAATTTCTTGTGTCGTGCAACAGCGGGAGATTCCGTTGGGGAAGAAAGCCTCTGCCAGTGGACAAGGTGGGAAAAGCCCCAACAGCTCCTAGCTCTGGTGAGCCACCAGCTGAGCCCCGGGATGACAGCAGTACATCAGAACTCCCCTCAGAGACACCACCAGAACCATCTCCCGGCAGGACAGGGCCTCAATGTTACATCGCAGGGACCCACCCGGGGCGCTCCGGGACTCACAAACTCCTCACCACGGAAGCCATTCACCAGAAAAATTTTGCAATGCGTGAAAAATCCCCAA